AGGGGTAGTCTAAGTGCTGGGTGGTGATATCAGTTTAAAAACAACAAAACAATAAAAATTTGTATTTTTTCAATATTGTATAAAAAACAGTGTTCTAATTACCTCTAATTTTTTTTCCAGGTAACTGTATTACTCTTCCCCCAGTCTATTCAATGAGCAGGTTTAACACAGTGAACACTTTCATGCATCTCTCTCATTTGAAGAAGCCAGTTTTCTAATAAAAAGGTGTCCTGTCCTAAGCTTCCAAAAGAATTACAATTAGAGCTGCAAATCTAAGGTAGACTCCTGGAAAAGTAAGCACACCTTTTACCGCATTGATTTTTCTAGGTTGTGAAGATGCAGTTTGGCTTCTGTTAGTTGTCCAAGTTGTTCTGATTCCTCTGCACGTTACTTTGTGCATGCAGGCAGCCGAAGCAAGGTATTTGTGGGTATAGATCTGGAACTTCTCCAGCAAGATGTTTCCTTGGATATTAATGGAGCTTTACACATGAAATCTATAGCATTGCCTGCAGCATGTTGAAAAGATCATCTTCTTGGTATATTTCATGTTTGATCATTCTCCCCTATAGTGATTACAGCAGGAAAGGAAGCCTACAGTAAATTGTCAAAACACCTGCAGTTCAAAGGAATATGGCCTAGTGTAAAACTCTTGTAGGGAATAAATTCTAATGGATTTCCCTTCTTTCTAGACTGGAACAACTGCTTTTTGCCTCATTCTGCCCTTTCTCCCATCTTTCACCTCCCTCCCCATCTCAAACAAGAACCGTCTGTAAATAAACTACACACCCCTAGTCTGGAAGAGAAAAGTGGAATCGTTTTGAAGCAGGATGCCTAGTTTTTTTTTCAGTTCCAGTTTCTTTTGAAATGCTAATGTTCTTTTTCTGAAAGACCCACTGCCATTCTCTTCCCTGTTCAGATGACTGAATCTCAAAGCATCAGCCAGGTGGAAATTAACAAGCCTACTCCAACATGACTACGATTGATCCACTGTATGTAGATTCGTGCTCTCAATGAATCCCTGAATATGAAAGCTTGTTAGTAACCTATTCTCGTTGTTATGGAAGTAGGCTCTTTGGCTTCACGTCTGATAGCTTGTCACCTTGTTCTTGAGCTTTGTGTGACCTATACAAATTGAGAAATATCAAAGCTGCCCCAGATCCGCAGAAGCGTCTCAAGAAGCTACCTACATTGCCAACTAGGTTAATCTTGAATTTCATCAGGCGTGTTTTCAACTCTCCTTGACGTTTCCAAGTGTATTTTCTTAGTTCATTTGACTTTCCATCATGACAATTTTAGACTTAAAAAATTAAGGAGGGGAGTCTTGGCAAAGCTAATCTTAAGGGAGTGGCATCTCGATATGAACTGAGTGGAATAATGCTTTGTAAATTAACTGGTAATGTGTAAACCCTCGGTCAGAGGGGGGAAATGGAAGTTAAATGCAATTTCTGTTACCTCTGACGTTCAAATTGGCCACTTAGGTTTATGGGAATACTACCTACATTGTCACTTCTGTAATCTCCCTTATCCATGTTTGATCACCACCCCCACATTATCTGCCTGCGGTGCACACAAACCAGGGAGCTGGAGTCCCATTTTTCCCCATAAGGGATGAGAAATGCTGTAACCTGTGCTGCAGTTGGGTTGCCCTGGCTTTTTTCCCCCTCCCAGCAAGACTAATCACAGGGCATTCTGATGTAAGTGGTAGCTCTCCGGTATGCAAGGACACCCTCCACCCCCACCCTGCACCTTTGATGTCAGATCTATACCACACCACGCAGGGGGCATTGAGGAGAGGGCAGGGCTGTTGGTTTGTTTTTCTTTTGCTTCTTTTTGCTCATCTGAATTCCCCTGGCACTTTAGCAAGAGCGTGTGCAGCATGAGAAATGGCCATTATTTTACTGACTGTATTTGATACCTGTTGTGTGATACTTGAAGAGATAAAGGGTGTTTTCCCTTCATTTGAGTCTAAGCTTTTTTCTTTTCTTTTCTTTTTCCCCTTTTTTCTTGCATTGTGATGATGTAGTGGGCATGCTTGTCACCATGACAAATGCCTCTTCTCTAAGAATATAACCTCTCAAATAGTTGTGTATAATTAAAGAACTGTAAACTTTTTTAAATAAAAGATGTATATACCTTGACACTTGACTGGTACTTGATCAGTAAGGTCTCGCTGTCATAGGCAGCATCTCCAGTGCCTCCCGTCTTTTAAACCTCCAGCCCCTGAGATTCAACAGCAGCTGTTAACCAGACGGCCCAAGATTCTGCCTTCAAAACCAGTCCAGGTGTTTTCTGTAGGAGATGCTCTGGTGGAAAAACATCCCATTGCATATGCAGAGTGTCTGACTGCCGTGTTTGATGTAACTAGGTTATTATAAGTCAGGCAGTTTGTTAAAAATAGCTGTACTGTACCATTGTGATGGGTGCAGTAAAAGAACCTAATTAAACTAGTATAAATGGGTTTCTTTGGTTGTAGGCCCATTTGCAGATAAGGTTTGTGAAACTTGCCTCTGGCCAACACTAGATGGCACTGTTTGCCACATTCTCCACAAAAAGAAGAACAGGAGGACTTGCCACAAGTCCTCCTGTTCTTTTTGCGGATACAGACTAACACGGCTGCTACTCTGAAATTCTCCACAAAGTGCTCTGGCAGATTTTAGTAAAGGGTGTTTCAACCAAAACTGTAAATTCGAATTATGCCCTAAATGTGTTGGTAATGTGAGCAAGCAAACGAGCAGGTTTCTTCATCTTATTAGAATGGATGTTAAGTGAGCTCTTCTAGGAAAATACCTAATGCATTATATGTACATGGATCATGCCAAGTACTTTATAAAATGTGAATTGGGGGAATAGGGGAGTGGTTCCAAGGTGTTTGCAATTTAAATTGGCCAAGGACAATGTGGACACAACAGTGCCAAAGTTAGAAAGCTGAGACCTCAACAGTGAGATCATCTATACAGGAAGGCTTTGGGGAAAGTGGATTTGAAGGGTGGGTGGATATAAAAGTATTAACTTACAGGCACCGTGTGTCAGTCATTCCAATTTTACAGCTAAAGGACATAACCAGTGCTCTTTCAATAAGTTCCTCTACATGTAAGGAGAAATGAAGAGGTCTGTACGTTTTTCCTGAAAACTGAATCTGAACCATATTAAACATAAAAGGAAATGTCCTGAATTCAGAAGCTAGCACAGCCATTCAGTAACAAGTACTAGGATTCCAATTGCTGGTCAGCGGGTGAAACAAAGTTTTTAGCTTCAAAATACATACTTGTCCTTGGAGTTTCTGGTTTTCTGCAAAGCCAGGGCCCTATTAAACATGCCTCACAGTAGTTATGTTGGATGTGCCAATGTAATCTGGGCTTTGTACAGGGCAGGAGAGCCCTATGTCAAATGTGTATTAAACATTTCCACCTGCCTTGGGCTCACGCCTGTTCATCACAATCTGTTAATGGACCCCCTTCATCTCGTCTGTTACCCTTTGTTTGTCATGTCTGAACTAGATTGTAAGCTCGTTGGGGCAGGGACACGTATCTAGTGCGTATGGCATTGTACAATGCTTGAGGCACAATATTTGCAAAGATTTTTCCATAGCCTTTCCCTTGCAGATCTGCTTCTTGTGGTTTCATTAGCTAAATTCACATTGACCAGGGGACGTCACTTGCTTATTCTAAAAAAGCCAGTGGAACGGCTTTTAGCTCTCCAGAGAAATATGCCCGTGGTTGAATTCTGGAGAAAATCCTTTACATTTT